AGCCCTCTTTACTTTTTCTCTTCACTCTTATGCAAACATGAAGCAGAATCCAAGCCAGTCCCACTGTTAGATTTATTAAGTTGATTTCTTAACATTTCTAAGAGTAAAGTTTGTAAGAAGCCTACTAAAAAAAAACAAAAACAAAAAAACACCTCTATATTTATTGTTAAAAAAACCTCCAAGTGTTGTATGTCATTTTTGTAAAGTGTTTTCTTGAGATTCATTCCTAAAACAAAATGTATCATCACTGTTTTGGTGTTTCATTTAAAGGGACTAATTTCATTATTTCTTTAGCCGGATAGCTGCATGACAGACACAAACACACCCTCTGAGCTTGTCATAAAATATTCAGTGGAGTCAGCTGCAGAGATGGTTTACTTGCTTTGCTCTGCCCAACACTTACCACATGTCTAAATAAAGATAAGTGCATTCCCCTCCTTCCAATTAGTGTTCAATTATGGGGGCTGTGCTCCACGCATGTGCATCTATGCTTCTCAGTCTGCAACCAGCAGGTGTGTGTGAATGCGTGCATGCAAGGTTACACCAGGATTACCAGGCCATGGGAGGAGGATAAAAGCATGCATCTTCACACACTGTATATTCACATGATGATCCTCTAACTTCTTGCCATACCAATTAGGTAGCGTCACTTTGAACTGGGCCTATTTAGGACCTGTGGAAAATAATCACTCCTTGTGAGCTGCAGAAAGACACGAGTGGCCTCAAGCCGAGCGATTTATCAAGGATTCTCATGACTCTGGTGGGCTTTATATAACGACCAGCTGAGGGGTGCACTTTCCCATATTGTAAGAGGTCAGGAGGCCACCCTCTGAGCACTGCGCCAGAGGAATTCCATCCCACTGTTTGGAGATCTGAGAATGGATAAAAGACGAGAGAACTGTACTTTGTGCATCAGTTTAGCTCCTGGTGACCCCCACCCACTCACCCACTGACTGAACCCCATGAACAGCTCTCTCCCCACACAGCTTGCTTCATTGACAGAACAAGCAGCTTCACTGTGAAAGGGACCCCCTGAGACCCTCATCACCCTTTTTCCTTCAACTCTCCCTTCGCAGCCCCACTGTCGGTGTGCTGCAAACCAGCAGCCCGAGGCTCAGGGAGCGTGTGGGATAAAGGGATGAGAGGGAAGATCAAAGCAGGAAGCATGAAAAAGCTCAAAGCACACAAGCAAAGAGGCACCTCCCTGACCTCGGCACAAACACACACACACATATGCATGCGTACGTGCACACACGCACACACACACACACACACACACTACACAGCATGGCCTGGCGCCTGCCCCTATGCTTCTCCCTGCAGCTGCAGAAAAAGGCAAAGAGAAGAGGGCACGTCGTTCAGGTCGTGTGAGCCTCTCTGATGGTAGTTTGGAACTGCTGGGAACCTGACCTGAACTAATGCCCCCTGCTGGTGCCAGACTTGCAGCACACCTGTTCAATGCCACTCATCAAACTTGAAAGTCACATTTTTCTTCACTTAAAGGGTTAGTATTATGTGTTTTCCAGTCACATAACATCATCTATTAGCACAGTCAACTATCTTATTTTCAGTTGTGATAAAAAATATTGTATACATCATTAAAAAAAACGACTGAAATTCAATGCCCTGAAATTACTTAGGCCTCTGTTTAGGCTTCCTTTTGAGGCTGCTCTTTCCAAGAACTCCACCTTCAGGACATTGCTCCTATATTAACCATTTAATAGCATTTGTACCAGCGATGCACTTAGAGGTAGCTTGCACAATAAGCTCAGCAGACGTTCAGTTCCACTAGATGTTTACTAATTGCTGCTGGCTAGTCAGAAGGAGTTGAATCTCCTTGTAAGATTGGAAATTGCAGCTCCAGTCTTAACAATCGTTTTGCACAACTAAAAATTGTTTTTGCATAACTGAATGGTTGCCATGGGAGATTAAAAGAGTTCTCAGACATGCATGAAAGAACCAGAGCAACAGTTCAGGTATGTTTTTGATGAGAGAATAACATTCTAACATGATGCAAAGCCATAAAAAACTATTTTACATAATGCTTCCCCTTTAAGAAGGATTGCACATAACTAGAATATGGTTTAGTTACAATTTGTCAGAGGTACTGGCTGAAGAAAGTCTGATAATCTATCAACAGATGCCTTTCTATAACTTGGGGTGTCAAGTCATAGAAAAAAAAGTTTTTTTTTTTTTTAAAGTAATTTCAGACTATTGCCCTTCAAAATCTGAAATTTATAACATTACACAATGACCTTTTCTAAGCATATTTTTTTATGAGCTGCAAGCCATTATCATCAGAATTAACTGAAAGAAACACTTGAAGCATGTCACTCTGTGTATGATATGTTTATATAATTTCTGCCCAGGAGAGATCTGGATCTCAATGTTGTTTTACCTGATTGCCAGATAAATATTATTCAGAATTGAACTACAGACGTAAACTACGTTTTTTTTTTTTTTTCACGATAATCTAACTGATTAAAATGCATGTGTATTTGAACTTTGATGTTTTGTATTGGCTTCTGTTTGATTTATTTTTTATTCTGATGCACAGCCTCCCCAACCAGATTCACACCATGTCACACCAAGTTCAGTACCAAGCATAATCAGCCATGACCCAGTTTTACCTGCTGGCACATAAAGTTGCAGTTTACAAAAAGCTCAGTCAGACATTAAAAGCTCCTCCTTAGCCCTGAGGATCCTCTCTCCATTATTCATGAGTGCTCAGGTTGGACCCTGGGAACAAGCTAAACGAGGCCCTGTGTCAATACGCAACACTGGCCGCCACAATGAGCTCTGCCTCCAACTACACTGTTGACAGACACCGACACAAAGGGGCTGAAAGGGGTCCCCCTCCGTTCTCACACACACTGAAGAATGAGTCAGTGTGTGTCCGCTCAGAGCTGTGTTTGTACAGTATACGCAGCTTTTGTTCCTGGCCACTGTTCTCCCATCAATGGGGTCTGAAAGTGTTGATGAAAACCACAAGGAAGGGACTCCTCTGTGGATGCCAGCAAGAGTTCATGTTCATTAGACAGGCTCTGGGGCTGCTGGATGGCACCTGTATGTACACAGAGAAACCCCGGCTGACAGAACAACAAGTAATCAGCTTACTGGATTGGTAAACAGTCTCCCAAGACACATTGCAGCCAAGCCTCCTTTACATCATGACTGTCATTGAAGGTAATATATGGGAAACACTAAATTAAGTCCTTAAGTTGTGTCACATTGTTCATATTCACTCTTTTTCTTTTTTAATGTTGGAAATCTTTCAAAATTCCTTATGAAAGTGTTTGAAAAATTCCAAAGTGTTGACACCAATGCTCTTTAGCATAAAAGCTTAGATTGAAATTTTTTTAAAATTATTTTTTAATATTTCCATTGTAATTCCAAGACAAGTAATCCATTAAAACATAAGAAACAATCTCTCCATATAACAATGACCTCAATGTGATGGAGATGTTGAGAGTCTAATTCTTGGGCCTATGTTTTCCAAGGCTCTAAAATTGTCAGGTGAGGGATTAGCGTAAAAGTGATTTGGTAATCTGTATAGTTACAAATCACTGAGCTTGATTAGCCTCATCCAGTATGGGAAGACTCTGACAGTAACCTAAACCCAGCCTGTTTGGAGGTAAAGGCACAAAATTGTTAAAGGTGTCTCTTCAGGGAATTGCTTGGACTCAAGGAAGCTCCCTCCAGGTAAATTATGCTTCTACAGAGAGGAATATTGAGGTTGGTTGGGGTGCAAACAGAGGCAAGCAATAAAAATATTTGATTGAACAGAAATTTAACATAACCCCAATGTTAGGAAAAGAACATTAATATGTTTTTTTTTCTCAAACAGAATGAAGGTCTCATATCTTTGGAAATACATAAAATAATCTCTGTGCAGCACAGAATAATTCATTTTAAATTGATCAATCAGTAATTATACTTTCCCCACAATGATGATGAAATTTAGTAACAAATTCCTTATTAAGAGCAGACAGACTTACAAGCTAATGATTAGGTACTTAGTTGCTGTAGCATATTTTGGTTGAATGAAATTACCAACCTCATGTTTTGATTTTTTTTTCCTTTTTGATTTGCTGTGTGTGTATGAAGTCCTCATAGGTTGGTGAGTTCCTTCCTTGCATGATCTTATCAACATAGAAATCCTGTATAACTTCCCCATAGAGATCTGTTATTATAGGTCAATGTGTTTTATTTATTTATTTAATACATTTTTCTTTTATTTATTGATTTATTTTTTCTCCAACAGTGCATTGTAGGACCTTAATGTTTCCAAGTTATATTCATCAACGGAAAATAAAGGAAAAGACTTGAAAGTTATGGCAGTATATTCACAAAATCTTTAAGAATAGAAGTTTCCCCTGTCCTGAAACAGAAAACAGATATTAGAAATAAATGTTTCTCCTTGTCAGAGAATTATGGGCACACTTCTATCCAAGTGCCCTTCTATTCAAATAATTTGAAGTCACTTCCTTTTGCTTTACACCTTTGTAAAGCAATTGCTTTACAAAGGGCGCCATCTGCTGGTTCACATCTAAATTACCACAAGTTTCAAAGATTTAAACGTTCAACATTTTTTCAGCATTTTAATGTAAAATGGATATAAAAACAAATGCATTGATTGTTCACATACGTTTGAGTTTGGCAGTTTTATAGTGTATGTTTGCCCGAATGGCCTTCTGAAACAGAGGAACTCATCCTCAAGGATAAGCACAAACAAAACGGAATACAATATAACTAATAATACTTAATGTGTTATTTTATGATGACGAGAATAGGTTTATAGAGATAAAAAGCACTGTGTGTGTATGAAGTTACAAACAAATGATTAAAAAGAAAAAGTCTGTAGGGAAAGCACAGAAAGCCTGCATATTGTTCCCTTTATGCAGTCAGGCAGACATCAGGTGATCCTATTACACGATTATCTGCTCGCTTTAAACAATGCTGAAGTCAGTAAACCCGGAGCCAAAACCGAAAGCGATCATCACATGATTCAATTATGGCTTTTATTATTATTTTTTTAATTAGTCGAGACCACGCCCCCTAATCTGGCCATTTCCAAAGCAACGGGGCACCTGCTGATGATTGGTGGTTGGGAATTAGAAACCCGCTTGAAATAGGGGAGTTTGTCACATTGCCCGTGCCGGCTTTGGGATTGTGAAGTGTTTCGCGGTTCTGATTTTCTCTGGCATCATGGTCGAGCAGTTTGTAGGAAAGTGGACTCTAGTTTCCAGCGACAACTTTGATGAATATATGAAGGCAGTCGGTAAGAGTCTTTATTATTATCAATATTATTATTCTTTAAATGGATCTGATGAGTTTTTAGTTGCATACAAATTATTAGTATGTTTTAAAATGTGTCTATAGGTATGAGCTTTGCCACACGCCAGATGGGGAATCTGGCCAAACCCAACCTGGTCATCAGTGTGGGGGATGACGGGGTCATTTCAATAAAGGCTGAGAGCACTTTGAAGACGACCGCGATCCAGTTCAAGCTGAATGAAGAGTTTAATGAGACTACTGCAGACGGTCGCGACGCAAAGGTGGGTCATTCTGTCTTGCTGTCCAAACTCCTCCATGTTAACTTTATTTATTTCCCCCCCTTCCCTTCTTATCCCTCATTAGTCCATCTTCACCTTTGAGAATGGAAAACTTGTGCAGAAACAATCCTGGGAAGGAAAGACTACAACCCTGGAGAGAGAGGTTCAAGATGGAAAACTTACAGCTGTGAGTGAAATATTAAACTTTAAATGGCTCCAACATCACACTTATTCTTTAAAATGTTGTTCACTCCTTCTAATGAAACTAAACCAGTGTAAAAATGTTATGTTCAGGGGAAAACAATCACAGCTATACTGTCTTTAGTAAGCTTCTAAATGAACCATTTTAAAATGATAAATGGTTGGTCTTTGTCTCAACAGAAATGTGTCATGGATGATGTTGTTGCAGTTAGGACTTATGAAAAGGCAGCATAACCTTCCTGTGATGGACCGGATGCAAATGGTTGAGGTTTTTGAAGCTCTAAATAAAACCTGTGATCCTACTTTCTGTGTGGTTGTGGTTAATGAAAACCAGCTCTAAACTTTTTTTAATGCTTTTTTTTCCCTATGGCTTAAAATGTAATGGTCTCTGTAAATCTGCAGTACAATTGTGGGTGGAGCTTTTATTCTGCCCCCTCTGTGCAAGTATTTAATTCTGAGCTTTTAAAGCTACTTATCAGCACAAGACTGATTGAACTGGGATGATTTCCAAGACTAATCATAGCTTTGAGACTCTAATGACTCTTATTGCTTCATGGACTTGGCACCATGCCTATCAACTGTTGAATAAAAGTAATTCAACTGGATTTAATGGAAAAAGCATTAGTTTGCTGGGATGCCTAAATATGAAGGATGAGAAACATTGCATTCCTTATGACATGGATTTGGCAGGCCAAATCTCTGCTTCGGTTGGTAGTGGGATCCCTCTCGGTGTGCTGAAGGCCTCTTATCTTGCACAGATGGGGGGTGAGGAGGTGAAACAAGCACCCAAATTGTTTAATTGGGGGAGGAGGGGTCTCTGAATCTGGGTCGACTCAGGAATCCACAAAGGCTGCAGCTGAATGCTTGAATTGGCTTGAGTCCAACAATAATACGGAACATGAGCATATTTTGTCAAGTGCATTTCCATTGAACATTTTACTGAAACTTTTTTTTTTCTTTTAAACCGATTAGTCTGGATTAAGCTTTGTGTGTGTGTGGGGGTGTGTGTGGATGTTTTAGGAAGCGGACTACTTTGAATTGGCTTTACTCTCTTAAACACAATCATACTATTGGCTGCTGAATTTATGTATTGTTCTAAATCTACTTATGAGCTCCTGGTAAATGTTAACTCTTCTGAATAGGTTTGGCCATAGTAATTTATGGCTCATAATGGATATCAAAGTCAATTTTTTTTTTTTTTTTAAGTTGTAAAGTCTGGTTTTCAGCAAGTAGCAAAAGGCTTGAAGAAAGAAGTTGGGCTACAAAAGCATAGGCTACACCAAGCAAAGGCTAAAGAATGTGTTGTAGAAAACGTTGTAATTGTGTTTAGTCAAAGTCTAAACCTTTCTTCCACATAATGAAACTATTTACTCAATCTTTAGTCATTGTTGTGATAAGTTCCTTTGACAGTTTTTTTTTGTTTTGTTTTGTTTTTTTTTCTAAGTGTGCCTTGAGTGTAGCTCCATCCATCTTCCCATAAACTGGTAGCCCCAGTGTTTTTCTTTTTTCTTTTTTTTTAATGAAAATAATTTTTAAAGTGGACGGGTGAAGGAACTTGTATTGAAAGTTAAATTATCAAACCAATTCTGTGTGAGCATACATTAATACTATAGAGATTTTTTTTTAAGGGTCTTTATCAGAGTTTCTGTCTTGAAGAAAAACTGACATCTATCGACTGATTCTTGCAATAGCAGGTAAATATTGGACGGTACTACTGCATTGAGAAGGGGGGCCACATTCTGCTCTTAGTTAGAAATTAGTTTGTGAATATATAATGTAACTGAAGGCAAAACTATGTGCAACATTAGTTTCTCAGCCGTAATGTTGAAAAAATGTCCCCATAACTATTTGACTTCTTCCGGTTGAACTAATCCAACCTTACGTCCTTACGTCATGGTCCGCCTGTAAACATGGCAGACCAAGAAAACACTGTCATGGAAGTGGACAAGAGGAAGAAAGAGCCTTTCGTTGAGCAAGTTAAGGCGCTGCTTGACGACGTTACCCGCAGAACAGACAAGCAGAAGAGTCCAAAGACTAGCAGCAAGTCCGTCGAAAGCTGTTCGACTGCGGAGTACTGCGAGAAGCTCCAGGCATGGATGTGGCAGTACTACACTGGATACGTGAACTGGCAAAGCTGGCTGCTAGCTTCAACTATGATCGTCCCGCCCTGTTTACAGCCACCCAGCGGAACGTCCCCTGCGCTTGTTTTTGATCCGCAGAACTGGCAGAATGCTTCCTTTGGCCTCCCGCTGTTGCCTTATCCACCCGAGGTCCATTCCCCGAGCAGCCGAGCGGGGGAAGCGGCTGTCGGGGCCCCAGCGGCCGCTCAGCCGCAGCAGCAGCAGCCGCAGCGGGATCATGGGAATGCTCAGAGACAGGGTAAAGGCTGCCGACCTGACCGCCGAGGTTTACACACATTCAGCTGCATGAACGAAACCATGGCCTCTCCTTCATCTCACCTGACACTGAAGAGAAACGTTTTTAGTGGTTATTTCTGTAACACAACTTTAACAGAACTCTTGATCAAAATGCCACAGAAATACAGAATCCCCAATACTTTGTAAGGATAGTAAAACAATTATGGTTAAAAACGTATTTTAGGCTGCAAAATAATCCCCCCCCCCTCAACTACAGCCAAAATTAATAAAATGTGTATGTGTGTTTTTGCTGGTCTGTGCAACTTTTGTGGGCTAAGCAGGCTGTACTATTTAAAATGTGCTTTTTCAAAAGTTGCTTGAGCTTCTGTATTAATTACCCAACATATTTTGACACAGTTTGGCATTTACTGTAAATTTTAATAGCACCAGATGTGTCTCTGGTGCTATTATTGTATTCTATACTTCCAGATATGACAAAGCATTAATTAGGGAATGTTTTTTGCTACTGACATTATTGCATTATTAGAGTTGCAGAATGTGCATAATCCTTGGTTGGAAAGTTCCTTTAAGCCTTTAGCAGTCCTGTAAAACTCAACAACTTTCTAGAAAATTTAAGTATTTGTTGAGATCTTCAATTTTTCAGGTACAGAAGGAAGTCATAAAACTTGCAAATGAGTTTGTTTCATTTGAATACTGTGGATTTAAAGGTTATGTTTTTTGAAATACAGCTGCAAACCTTTAATTTTCATACTTGTTCTCACCAGGTCGAGAGTACAGTATTCCTTCACCTCTCCAAAGACTTATGGCAGAGATGGTGGATTTCTTCATATTGTTTTTCATCAAAGCAACCATAATCATCAGTATCATGCACCTAAGTGGAATTAAGTGAGTTGATTTTGTTAATCTGGGAGTAAGGTGGCAGATTTTTTGGATTGTCCTATTTGGAAAGTTAAATGTATACACTGCCTTGCAAAGCTATTTAGGATTTTATGCGCCAGACCTGCACAAAGTAGTTTATAATTATGTGGTAAAAGGAACTGAATACTTAATTTTCATTTATTTTATTGTTTTACACATAAAACTGAAATGTGTTGGTTGTTTTTTTAATTATTCAACTCTTCTGGTCTTATACCCCTACATGAAATAGACCTATTCCTACCATAGTGGTGGTAGGGTCATGCTGTGGAGACTTTTTGAGAGATAATGAATCTGGTTAGGGTTGATGAGAAGATGAATGGAGATAAATACAGGGCAACTTTTGAAGAAAACCTATCAAAACATGTGGAACTGGGGCAGAGCTTCACCTTCCAGGAAGTTAGTTTGTTTTAGTTTATTGCATAAACTATGCTGAAGTTTATGTAGCATTTGTGCTCCAACAAATGACATGGAAAAGCCACTCTTAAGGGGAAAAACCTCAACTGTTTGCATCTGGATCTGTTTTGCTTCTCAGAGATGTTTCCAAGTTTGCCATGCATTTTATAGTGGAGGAAATCGATGAAGACACATCGATGGAGGAGTTGCAGAAAATGATGCTCGTTGCCCTTGTGTATCGGATATTAGTTTGTTTTTATGAGGTGAGAAGCTTTAATGGTATTTCGCAGTTTCCTCAGCGCCAGCTGCACATAGCTGCAGACATGAAGTGACGAAGGTGGATTTCTCCCTTCTGCATTCAGATTGTATGCATTTGGGGAGCTGGCGGTGCCACTCCAGGGAAATTTCTCATTGGACTCAGAGTTGTTGCGTGCGATTCGTCAGTTCTGATTCAGCCCAATAGGGTGCTGGTAGTGCCGGCAACAAATGTTTCCCTATCCGCGTAAGCAACTTATTTCTATATCTTTTATATTTTTTCTTCTTAAATCTATCCCAACTGTTCCTCAAATCTTGACCCTGTCCTTATGTCTTCCTCTGCAGGTCAACGGTCCGAGCCCTGAACAAAAACTTCTCCATTGCCTTCTTTTTCCCAGCATTCATCACGCTCCTCTTCTTTCAGCACAACAGGACTGTCTACGACATGGTTGCTGGTACGATAGTTGTCAAGCGCTCCAGAATTAGATGACAGAAAAAATAACATATATACATACATATATATACATAATGAGAGTGCAGGAGTAAAATGACTGAACAGGAACAAGATGACATCTTTTAAAAATAAAGAAAAAACTTGTGACACTGCTGTGAAGAGATGAGATTTCGGACCGGTGCTGAGTGAAACTCTTCAGAATGAACTATTTAGGTTCACTGTTTGGTGTATTTCTGCATCCAGTGTCTGTTTGCTGCTCTATACACAGGAGGGATGACGGTAAATGCATTATTTTCTTGTTAAAACAATTTTGCCTTGTTTGTAATTGCCCCCCTATTAAGGGTAAATGCCATGTATGGATCAGTGTTTGAATTGTGAATTATGCATTTATGTCATGATGACGTTGTCATTGTACTCCTCAGTATCTCGTTGTGTCACAGCTCTGTTTCCAAAAGCCAGTAGTGAGACTTCTTAAAATGTAAATAAAAAAATAAAAAAACCTAATTTAAAATCTTTAATTAATTGAAAAAGTATTGTTATAAATGTTGTTTTTTTTTATTTTTTTTTTACATTTTTGATTTGAAAAAATTTATTCTGATTGTATTTAAAAATGGAGCAGGCAGGATTTTTATTTCTGCATCTCACTGCTCTGGTATTTTATTGCATTTGAGAGTGTTGCTGAACAGCTCTAAACACTTAGTATTGTCATTATGATTTATTCAAAAGTTGCATTTCCCAGATGATGAGTTTGAGCTTTAATAGTTTCCTACATGGCCACTTTTTCTCCTGACCACTTATCAGTTTATACCAGAAGAGGTTTTGGAAGTGTTTTAAGGTGATGAAGTAATTTCTACTGAAGTATCAAATGTGTAATTCAGTGCCTCCTTAGGGCTTCTCAGTATGAATTTCCAACATTTTTTTGTGTGTTTTTTTGCATATTCAGATTACTTTTAAGTCGGAATGCACCATTGAAATCTAATCTGTAGATTTCAGACAGAAAACTAGTTCTTAAACCTACAAAAGCTTTGGGTTGTATTTGCCTTTAGAGAATGGACAGACAGGAAAGTGCGAAATGAGAGGGAGAAGACAAGTGTCACCAGAAGTCACCAGGCTGGGACTCAAACCTGTGACGGCCACGTTGAGGACTAAGGCCTCCATGCATGGGTTGTGTGACAACTCAGCACCCATTTTGGGTTGTATTTAAACGTGTTATAAACTAATAAATGTCTTATTCTGTATTCATATATTACATAATGTCTCATTCCACAGATTTACTTCAGCAGCTCTGTGATCAGACCTTTCAAACGATGATTCACACTGTGGGAGTGATGCGCTGTGCTTACTGTACAATTACAAAAGGTTTAACGTCACAAGATGTATTGAATGAAAATGTAAACCTTCACCTTTGTTCACCTGAGCAATCTTTGCTTCAGCAGCATGTACACAATGAAGAAGCTGAGGTGTGACTTCGATCTTGTTTTTGCATATATGAAAATTAAATGAAATCACCCAAAGTTCATTGTGTTTCTGTGAAGCCTTTGTTTTGCTTTTTGTTTTCTAAGTAACTGCAGGTAAAAAATTGACAACAATTTTTGACATCTTCTCGCAAAGATGTGCAAAAAAACAAACCTTGATATAAATTCGTCTTTTATTGCAGTGGCTCACACAGATGATCAAATATTTGTTTATTAAAGGGGGAGAAAAAAAGATTAGGGTTCTTTTTTGTTTAGTTGCAGAATCACCGGCAACAACTAGTGTTCTGAACACTAAATATAACTTGTGCATTGTTTTATTTTCAGTCTAGAACTTGCTTGTAAGCTTTTCCAAGTCTAGACCAGTATGAAAAAAAAATTCTTTTTGCAAAAATATTTACATTTCCAGAATTCCTTGTCTATTATTTAAAAGGAAGAGAAAAAAATATTTCTGAAAAAGAATTTTCACATCTAAACTCAAATTTTATTCAAACTTGTGAAATGTTTTCATGGGTTTCCAAGACTCCACATATAAACAGTTAAAGAATCAAACAGGGTGTTTTTTTGGCCTCTTATCACTCTTAGATCATACTTTTAAACCAAACTCTTCCCAGAATTGGCTTTCTTGACACTGCCAAGCACATTACATTTTTTAAATTTTATTTTACCTGCCAAACAAACTTAACAAAACTTACATCTTTTGAAGAACATAGTTAAATGTAAAGCAAAGTAAAGTAAATCAGGACTCACTCAGGGAAATGAGAAAAAAGCACTTCAGTAAAACTTAGAGAAGACATGAGCGATAGTCTATTGTTCAGTTGATCTATGTATATGCCAACAAGTCTTATTGGGTCATAAATTGCAGTTTGACTTTCAGAAATATTTTTGTCACTTGTGTTTTCTGTTCGCAGTTTGCAGACAGAAAATGAGCAGAGTGGAAGTCACCTGCACAAATAGCTACACATTAGAATCTTTTTAAGATGGAAAATGATATGTAAAATACATAGTAATAATCTTTTACTGATTAAATTTCTTATTTAATACATAGAATGAGAAACATCCACCAAGCTTTACTCAAAGGCATTTGGTTGCATCCAATTAATTAACCTCAGCTAAACACAACAAATACTGTGGAAGAAAAAGATGACCCACATCCTTCAGTTGTTGTTGGGAATAGACAGAAAAAAATGTTTAAAACAGAAAATAACTGACTCAAAAAATACTCCGGGAAATTCAATAAGTTTCTTTAAATAAAGCAACTTTGGGAGTAATTATTATTATTATTATTTTTGATATACAGCTACATGAATTTGCAGATGGTTTGTTTTGTTGGGTTTTTCTAGGAAAGTTTCTAGTAAAATAGTTTGTCATTTTTAAAGTTTTGTGGCTCATGGTCACATTTACCTCAGTGATTTTGGTGTATTCTGCGTTTCTTTTTTAAAATCAGGTGAATGCGTTGCAACTGGATGACTTACTGCATAATTTCAGCACTCGTGCATGTATTTCTTTCTACATCGAGATTAAAGAAAGAACTGCTAGTTATTATTTTCATTGTCCCAGCGTTTGGCTCCATCTAGTGTACATTTACCATTTACATGGACATTACTTGTGTTGGCATATTTCAGGGAAAAAAGTTAAGTTCTCTGCAGCTTCTGTGTTCCAGTTTGGGCTGAAATAGAAGGTTTCACTTTTCATCTGGGGGAAAAATATGATAACATGACATCAGTTTTCTTTAAACCACATTTCAGCAGGGTTAATAATTTCCTTCATATTTCAGAGTTTTCTGAGGTGTTGCATATCCTACTGGAGGTTGAGCTGGTGGCGAGTGTTGACATAAGGACTGTGTTAGGTTCTCTAAGTGGCAGCTTCAGATGACAGCCACAGATGGTGCTGCCAGATTACAGTGACCCCCCTCCCTGGCAGCCATCATGCCACAGGGAAAGACCAGAAGCTCCTTCCTGATGACAGAGAAATGTGGTTAAACCACAGCTAGGAATTGATGGAGAATTTAATCTGAAACAAACTTGCAAACTGTCTTTGTTAATAATCTGTTTTGCATCCAGATGAGGTATCGGGGGCTCATTTTTTAAAACAATCTAGAGTCCAACAAATAAAATTCCTTTGTCATAAGTTATTATGAGGTCACAAAGAAGAAAAGATGGGGAGCTACAAGTTTGTGCAAGCGTTGGTATAATTCACCAACATCTTCTATATGTCATTCTTTGTCTGGTGCTTTGCTTGAAAATCCCACTAGCTTGCTGCCACATGGCCTGCCATACGGTGTGGAGCTGATGCGGTGTCCAGCTTGAGCTCCTGCCATGCTTTCTGCCTCTTTTTTAACAAGCGGAGTCATCCACCAGCAGCATGGAGGGCTCACAGCTTCCTCTGACAATCATGTGTGGGACACAGGGGGATGAGAGAAACAGTCTGGCCCCGAAATATTCTCTGTGAGAGATGATGATTTCCCTCATTAGAGATGATATTTTTTTGATCAGGTTTTTCCAGAATTAACAGGTGGGTGTTGCTTTTCCTCCCAGCAGCAGCGGCAGGATCCAGGTGTTTTTGAAGTGGTGGAAAGGTGACGTGGGTGGAAACACTGCCTGTGGTTGTTGTTGTTGCTGCTTGTTGCTCACTCGGTGTGTCTGCGCCTGTTGGTATTCCTCTCAAGTGGAGCTGCTAATGACAGGCTGGCTGAGTCCTGCTGGAGAGGAGAGAGCTGTTGATAAAGAGGAGACCTGCGTACTCGGACATTTGGTCATGTCATGACCAGCAAATATGGTTTAATTTTGGGAGTTTTTATGCAGTCCCACCCACAAGGTGAGATCAGGACGGCCATGGCCATTCTATCATCTACCCCTGATAATCATGTTCAATCAAGTTCAATCAAGAGAAAAGCTAAATAAATAAACAAATGTACATGTATATTTGCTTGGGTGTCTCACGAGGCAGTGTCATCCATCCAAAAATGTTAGCAAGATATAAACAAGGCACCAAGCCTCCAGAGCCTTGTGGTTTGTGAGCAAAGGAAAGTAACAAGTAGTGGTTTTCAAAGAACATTGATGTGTAGGTTCTTATCTGTAGAAATGTCTGCCTCAGTAAATCTGTCGTCCTGATACTTTTCACAAAGTAGAAAGTAAAACCTGTGAGGTTTACACTAACAGGTTGCTGTGCGGTGATAGCAGACTAATATAGCTGGCTCACAAATTTCTACCGGTCTGCTTGAAATTGAATTGCGCAGCCAGCTGCGTGTAACCAAATATCTCTGTGGCTATTGTCATGAGGCTTTGGTGGTGGGAGCATTGAGAAGGTATTCTTCTATTCCAGTTAGATACTTTGAAGTGTGTGCGTATGATGAAACAAAATGTGGAAAACAGAAGAAGGGATATTAATACCTTTGCAAAAAACACATTTTTTTGTTTTGTCATTTATTCCTAATCAAAAGATTTCATAATTACTAAATTCTTGAGCTAATTTCCAAGTACTTGCTAAAAATATAGACAATCCCCAAAATTTTCCACCCCTTTATATGGCAATACATAATGAATAAAATAGCTTTCATTTCATTTGTGGCAAAAGAAGAGCCATTAAATTTTTATTATATAGAACAACATTGCCTGCACTCCTGTTCATTTTGTTGTTACAAAAATAGATGCGAATACGAGGTGAGTGCAAACTCTAGATGAATGGTGCAAAGGCACAAAGAGAGACTGAGTGAAGGCGTTGAAGTGCGGCCGCGCATTTACACCATTTCCCATGCCATGACAATGGGTTTCTGGCTGGTTATGTGTACAGTAAATTTTCTCTTTGAGGCCGTGACTAGTGTGAGTTGTCAAGACAACCATGGATGCTGCATTAGCGGTGGAGATATCCAACAATTACTCTTTATGGGCTATTATTTTAGTTTTAAGAGGCACAGCCAAAAGCAGACGTTGGTGTACGTTTGATCCAAATTGCGATTTATAGAGGATATAAAAATGCACTTGGCTACATTTAAGAGATAAATGTTACCTCTCCTCATCAAGACCACACAGATGTGTTTCCACTTAAACACTTCTTAAATATTCCTAACAGAAATGAGCAGAGTGCTCGTGAAATCTAAAATGACTGATGTAACCAGAGTGCTCTTTGCTTCTGATTGAGAGAAAACTCTCAAGTTTTTTCTATTGCTCTAAAAATTCCAAAAGTCCAGTTTTAAATCAAACTTTAAGGGGAAATTAAAGTGCTCACTTCAGAAGTGTTTTTATTCTTTTGTAGCTAAAAAAAGTTAGTCTTTGGGGAATGTATTGATCTAATTTTTGTATGCATGGCAGTGCTCTCTGTAAAAATGTAAGTAGTTTCTTGCTTCTTGCATGCTGACAGGATGCTCCTCTCTTGAGAATATTCACTGCTTCCCCTCCAGTCAAATTATTTTCCAGATGTTCAAAGGAATCAAAAGGAGGATCCATCAGTAAAAATAACTCTGCATCAGTCTCCTGTGATTCCTCCACTGTAGTTCCTGCAGGATCACTCTGTCGTCCATCTGTGTTTTTCCTGGACAGAAGAAGCTTCTTTGTTGCCAACCTTTTCACGAGGCATTTTTCCACACGTATTAGCATCACCTCCTGCAACTTCCGAAGAAGCTCTGCAGCGGTGGCTTCACAAAACTCCTTCACATTCATCAAGCTGGAATCAGTCTTAGGGCTTCCTCTGTAATTATGATCCATGAGAACTTTCATGTTAAATGTTCACAGCTTACTTTCTTTTCATGTGGGGTTGTGATGACAGGAGTACACTTTTCTTTTGATGTAATTATTCCCCACATAAATGGTAAACAGGTTGGCTTCATACTGGTCACTGTGCTTTTCATTATCGTTTCATTCTTTCAGTTGGACTCACAAAAGTGCAGATTTTCTTAGGGAAACTAACCCAAGTTGTTAAAAAATATGTGACAAAAGAGGAAGATGGCTGCCACAGTCACCTCTACCATTTCAATTAATTAATTTATTTTTTTTAAGATTAAATGATGTAATAGTTCATTCTCACATACTGAAACACATTTTAGAGCAAC